CTGATGGGGTTCCCTTCCTGAGCCCCAGGGGCTAGTATACAAGCAGTAGCACTTCAGGGTCAAAGGCAAACTCGATGCTGTCCTTAAAACGAACCACTAAGGTAAAGTAGGCACTGGAGAATCTGGCAAGCAGGATGATGGCGTTGGCTGGTTATTTATGGCTTCTAGAGGCCAAATGGCCAAGCAGGAACACTGGATCTCCAGAGCCCAGGGCTGCATCTCAACAGTTTGGGCAACAACAGGTCACATGACCATCACGGCCTCCTAGGACTGTCACCCAGGGGATCTGAGTCCATCTGAATTCATGTAAGGAAATGAAAGCTACCGACTCTCCTCAGAGCGTCTCTGGTGGTTTGAGCAGGAATGGCCCCCATAGACTCAAGTTTTTGAGTACTTGGTCCACAGGGAGTGTCACTATGAGGAGGTGTGGCCTTGTCGCAGCAGGTGTAAATCCAGACGGAGACCTCTCAGCCCCTTCTCCAGCACCATGTCTGCCTGCAAGCCACCATGCTTCCTGTCACGACTATAACAGGCTAAGCCTCTGAAGCTATAAGCCTGCCCCAATTAAATGTTTTCCTCTGTAAGACTTGCTGCCGTCGTGGTGTCAATTCCCAGCAATTAAACCCTCACTGAGATGGTCTCCATCATTGGGTGAGGCGTAAGGGTATATAGAAGGAATTTCAGGTCAAGTGGAGGAAAGTCTACCTGGATCCCGAGCAGAGACACAAGACCCTCAGCCCACTTGCAAGATGGAGCCACTTTCAAGTACCAGCGCCCTCTGCAGAATTCAGGGCATAGAGGAAGAGAAGGTACCAGGCACGGGGGGCTGTTTGCAAGCCTGGGTGCTAGGAAGGCTGGGAGGCAGGAGGATCTCAAGACCAAGATCAGTCTGTGTGGTTTAGTAAAGCCTGTCTCAGAATAAGAGGGGCTGTGAGACAGATTAGCTCTAAAGGAGTGTATTTGCAACCCTGATGATATGAGTTCCATCCCTGAACCTACAAGTTATTCTCTGAACTCCATATGCGTGCTATGGCATGAATGTGCCCACACACAAACTACAAATTAAATACATTAAAAAAAAACCTCGGCCAGGCGTTGGTGGCACACGCCTTTAATCTTTAATCCCAGCACTAGGGAGGCAGAGGCAGAGGTGTCTCTGTGAGTTTGAAGCCAGCCTGGTCTTCAGAGCAAGTTCCAGGACAGCCTCCAAAACAATACAGAGCAATACAGAGAAACCTTGTCTCGAAAAACAAAAACAGAAAAAAACCTCAGGACCTGGCAGTAATGGTTCACACCTTTAATCCCAGCACTGGGAAGGCAGAGGCAGATGGATCTCTGTGAGTTCGAGGCCAGCTTGAGCTACCAAGCAAGTTCTAGGACAGGAAAGGCTACAGAGAGAACACCTGTTTCAAAAAACCAAAACCAAAAAAAAAAAAAAAAAAAAAGAAAAAAAAAGAAAAAGAAAAGAAAACCAAACCAAACCAAACAAACAAAACACAGGGCTGGAGAGATGGACCAGAAGTTAAAAGTACTTGTTTCTCTTGCAGAGGAACTGGGTTTGAGTCCTAGCACTATTTGGTAGCTCACAACCATCCTTAACTCCAGCACAAGTGGATCCAACTGGCATGTACATGATACACATGCATGCAGGTAAAACATACATAAAGTAAAATAAATCCAAAAGCAATCCAAATAAAACGAAGCCTGGGGGCAGGATGGCTCTGTAACTGAACACTGGCCTAGAATCCCCCAGTGAGGGGCTGGGGTGTGGCTCAGTGGTGGAACCCCTGCCTAGAATGCCCCAGTGAGGGGCTGGGGTGTGGCTCAGTGGTGGAACCCCTGCCTAGAATACCCCAGTGAGGGGCTGGGGTGTGGCTCAGTGGTAGATTTCCCAGTATAGCATTCCGTGAGGCTCTAGACTCAATGCTCAGCATTTAAACAATAATGAATATTAGAACAGATAACACTGATCTTTTTCTTTTTTTAAATATCTTATTTATTTATTGTGCATATAGCCTTTTGTCTGCAGGCCAGCAGAGGGTACCAGATCACATTCAAGGTGGTTGTGAGCCACCATGTGGTTGCTGGGACTTGAACTCAGGACCTCTGGAAGAACAGTCAGTGCTCTTAACCGCTGAGCCATCTCTCCAGCCCAACACTGATCTTTTTCTTATCCCCCCCACAAAAAGCAGGGCGGGGGAGGCCTGTGGTGGCTTCATCCCTGGACCGTTACACACTGGATGAAAGAAATACTGCATTTGGGGGCAGGGAGACCAGAAATTTCTCTGGGGGCTTCCTGATGAGTCAGGCTTCACTTCACAGCAGGCCATTAGGGTCCCAAACCCACCCATGGTCACTCCTGGTCTCTTGTGACTGAGCTCCCTGGCAGGGTACAGTTGTTATGATAAGCACCAGTGGTGTCAAGACCCCCGTAAACCCACTTGGAGTCTCTGTCACTGAGATCTGGGGTGCCTCAGGCTCCCAGGACTCATCCTGTTTTACAGCCAGAGCAAAGGCCATTGGCTGGCTAGGAGTCAGGGCCAGCTTCCCAGAGGAGATCCACGTGTGGCTGGGTCAAACAAGAGTAAGAGGCCATTAACACGAGGACCAAGGAACAACAGTGAATCTTGATCCCACAAGGGGGCGCTGAAGAGCCATGAAGTTTTAAATTATTTTTCCCCCTTTCTTTATGGTCACTATATAGCCCTGGCTGGCTTGAACTATATAAACCAGGCTGGCCTCAAACTCACAGAGATCTATCTGTCTCTGCCTCCCAAGTGCTGGGAATAAAGCCATGTGCCACCCCCCACCGCATTTATTTCTTTAGTTGTTGGAGGAGTGTGTATGCCACATACTTATGGAGGGCAGAGGACAAGGAACAGAACGGGTTCTCTCCTTCCACTAACCGCTGGGAACCAAGCTCAGGTCTCAGACTTGGCAGCAAGTGCCTTTTGCATACGGACCCATCGTGGCTGTTGCTGGGTGACAGGTTCTGATATTATCACTGCTTTTTGGTGATTTTGGTTTGCTTTTGAGTGAGACATGGTCTCAGTAAATTGCCCAGGCTGGTCTTGAACTCCAGAATCTCCCTTCTCTGTCTCTCAAGTGCTGACTAATTACAGGCCTTCCAACATGCCCATCTTGAGGTAGTGGCTTCTAATCATCCTAAATATCAACAGAAGAAACCTTACATAAGCCACTCTCCAGTTCCCAGGCCCTGGCAGCCAGGAACCCACTTCCTCTGTCTGTAGACACTGTGTGACAGATTTTTCCTGGGGAGGAAAATGCAGCTTGGGGTGACTCATCGCAGACAGGATCCCATGACAGACCAAAGTAGGGATACCACCAGAGTCCACTTGGGTGAACCAATGAGTATTACTGTGGTTATCATAGGAGCAGAAATGACTCAAAGACAGCTGCGTCTCCAAAGCTCACCCCAGCATGCTCTGGGAACCTGGCGCACATGGTACAGTCTGCGGGCAGCTCAACAGGTTGGAGGGTGTCCTTTCCACGTGCCTCAGTTGGTCTAACCCTCTTCTAGGAAGCTTGGCAGGTCTGCGAGTGACTCCCAGAAGTCTTTGCCGTTTCCTCGTAGAGAGGTTGAGACCTTGCAGATCTGATCAGTTTTAGGAACTGGAGGTGCGGCTCAGTTGTGGAGGACTTCCTAGAATGTGCAAGGCCCTAGAGTTCACCCTCAGCACCACAAGAAAAAAGTGAAGTGTGGATGCGTTGACCCCGTAAGGATGGAGTCGGCGATTACGATCCATGGCCACACGGATGCAGGGTCCAGGGCAGGCGAGACAGCTGGTAGTTATGTAGCAGTTTCTCTCTAGCCTGAAGGGACGTGTCTTCAAACAGAAAGGAGACAACTCAAGATTGCTTTGGGAAAACCTGCCTCCCTTGTTTCTTTCACACAGACGAGAAAAGCCACAATACAGTGAGTTTCAGTAAACGGTGTTTTTCGAGAAAGTGCCCCACGGACCTGCGCTGCAGGGCCTGTAATAGCAGCTGCTTCCAGCCCAAGGCCTCAGTTCCCCTTCTGGCTTTGTTGATCCTTCAGATTTAACATTCTGCTTGTACCCAGCTGACTGCTGTGTGTGTGTGTGTGTGTGTGTGTGTGTGTGTGTGTGTGTATTTAGCTGAGTGGCTGGTGTCAGGTATCTTTCTTGATCCTCTCCACCCATTGTGAGGGAAGGTTTTTGACTAGGCTGACCAGCCACTGAGCTCTGGGATCAGCATGCTCCAGCCCCAGCCCCAGCTATGGAGTTACAGACCGGGCTGTGTTGCTACGCTCGGTTTTTATGTGGTTTCTGGGGATCCAAACTCAGATCCCCTGCCTGAGCAGCAGACACTTTTCCCAGCCCGATGGCGTTATTGTGGGAGGCTATGGAAGCGTGAAGGGGTGGGACCCGGCTGGAAGGTTAGTCTCACTCCTGTCCATTCTCTTGCTTCCTAGTCTGCAGTGATGAGATAACCCCCCCACCTTCCTGTCCCTTAAGCCACTGGTCTGGCAATGCAGAAGGGACTGCATTGGGTTCCACCTCAAACTCCCGAGGCTACATCAAGAGTCAGAAGCCGCTGGGCAGAAAGCAGGGCCTGGAGGAGCTCCCCCGGGGATGAGGAGGGACGCAGGGCAGGGAAGAGTGAGGGAAGAGAAGACACCATGTAGCGGGGTGTGACTAGGAGTCCAGCAGAGGCCTCTGAAAGCTATACCCAGCAGCATGGGGCAGGGAGCGTCCATGTACAGCCTACTGTCCCACGTGAACATTAACACGTGCCCCATCTCTCCTTCCAACTCTCAGAGACCCAGGAGGGAGGGCAAACCTGGGGCAGCAGACGGGGGGGGGTTGGCAGAGCTGCTAGGCTCTGAAACTCCCACAGGGACTTCAGAGGCCCAGCGCTGTCACCTGCCCTGCCCAGGGCCCCTCCGGGGTGTGAATGCCAGAGTCAGATGCTTGCCCTGGACCACGACTGTGGCTCTCGCCACTGGGAGGTACAGGTTCAGATGCAAAGTCTGCTTTATTTACACGGACACCCACCCCACTGCCCCCCATCTGGAGTGTTCCCTGGAGTTCTGGCCTGGAGCACCTGGGGTGCTCCCTGGAGCTCCTGGATCACACGTGCTGCCTGCGATGTCTCAGCACCTCGGTGGGAGTGAAGAGGAAATCCTCCCCACACAGCTGGCAGTGGTAGGGTCTCTGCAGCGCCGAGGCTTTCTGCGGTGCTGCAGAAGCAGCCTCCTCAGACCCTGTGGGGGAAAGGGATGGTTATGGCTCCCACCCAGCCGGGGGCCTGGTGCCAGCGTTTGGGACACCCAGTCACAGTCTGTGGCAGATGTGACTGCAGCATGCTCAGGAAGAGGTGGCTGTGTGACAAAGAAACCATGACAGCCACCCAAGAGAAAACCAGAAGGCCCTCTAGGTCCCCTGTGCCCTGACTGGCCTTCAAGGATCCTGGGTGGCGCCAGCTAGGGCCAGGGTCTTGGGCTGTTGGTCCCCAGTATCCAGCAAGCCAGACACAGGCAGCAATGTGTGACGGACAGCGGTTAAGGACGTCATGCTTGGCACGGGAATCCTCGTACCCCACACCCGCCCCAGCCCCTCCCCAGACTCGCCTGGATCCTCCCTGGGCGCCTCGGGGCAGGTGTTCTCGTGAGCGATGCGCTCCAGGGGTGTGAAGGGCATATGCAGGCCACAGTGTGGGCAGGTCCAGAAGGAGCGGAGACACTCACTGTACAGGTCGGTGTCACTCTGCGGCAGAGCGAAGGCATTAGGACCTGTGCCTCACCAACGAGGAGCTTCCCAGGCTCCTTGGGGCTACAACCCATTCGGAAATCTACTCTAGGGCTGGAGAGATGGCTCAGTGGTTAAGGGCATTGGCTGCTCTTCCAGAGGACCTGGGTTCAATTCCCAGTACCCACAGTTTACAACTGCCTGTAACTCTACCTCCAGGGGATCCAACACTCTTACACAGAGATGCATGCATGCAAAATACCAATGCACATGAAAATAAAGAAATCATTAAAAAAGAATTATTTAAAAAAAGAAAGAAGGAAAGAAGGAAGGAGAGAGAGAGAGCCAGGAGCTTCCAACCCCACCTCCAGAGCAGGAGGCTTTAGGCATCAGCACACTCACCGTGAGGCAGTTGTAGGTAAGAAAATCAGAGACAGCGTAGCCCCCCTTGGTGGGGTGGGGGGACAGGGTAGAGTTTCCAAAGAGACCGGGCAGACTCGGGGCGGTCGTGATGGTCTGGGGTCCCACATAGAGGTTCTGGGCTTCTAGGCCAGTGAGCCGTCGGAGGCTGTAGGGAACCTACAGGAGAGATCAGAGACAGAGATGGGGTGCGCACCCCCAGAGCCAGCTCTGCCAAAAGCCTCCTTTGGATTTTGTGGGCATGGGGCCACGCACGACTTGCCTTCAGGCCTTTGTGGCCCCGGTGGCCCCTCCAACTCCTCTCCCCAGGCTGTCCTCTGCTCCTTCTTGCTGATGAGACCACAGCCAGGCCTGAAGCACCTGGCCCCTCCCACAAGGTAGCTCAGGCTTGTTCCCCTTTTCCCAACTGCCTAAGATTCATCCCTCTGCCTGGACTCCCACGGGGCAGGACCAGAAGCAGCTGTGTGTTCCCACCTACCCACATGGCCCTCTCTGTCCTCACAGGGGACACCGGAGCCCTCACACACCACTATCCTTATGTCACACCATGAGCAGAAGGCGCCTACCATTTGCTCAATGAGTGGTGGGCCTCTGGAGTCAAATGCGAGTGCCTCCCCTTAGCCATGTGACCTCGGGTACCACTTAGCCTCTTTGCACTGAAGAGCCTTAAGTGAACCCCCACTAAGTGGTGCCCCTTCTGGTCACACCGTACCTTGGCCGCCATGAACTGCAGCAGCTCCCTGCTCAGGGTAGCCATCTCCCGGGGGCTGACTGCTGGAGACTCCGCCTCTTCCTCCTGCCCTAGCCGCTGTCGCTGGGCCTGCTGGGCCAGCTGCCGGTCCAGGGCGCTCTCCCAGCGGGCACGGAGCTGCAGGGCCGTGGCCAGGAGCCGGACGGCACTCTCACTGTCTACCAGCTGCAGCTCCAGCCAACCGTCAGCCACCAGGCGGGAGCAGTCACCATTGGTGTCGATGGACCGGCTGAACAGCAGGAGGGACTGAAAGAGACCAGAGTCAGGAGCCAGGAGCTCAGGGTGCCCACCTGGCTATGGCCCTGCCTACCCATCGTTCCCAACCCGTCCGTCTGCTTGTTCACTCAACGCACTGACCTGTCCATCCCTTACCTGCCTGTCCCCAATGTCTCCCTCCCACTAATCTGTCCTATCTCTGTACCCGTCCACCTGTCCATCCATGTGCCGACTGCCCACCCATGCACAAGTCTACCCACACCTGTCTGCCTACCGATCCACCGCCCACCTGTCCTCCCCCTGCCCATCCTCCACCCGTCTACTCAATCTAAACACCCAACAGCCCTGCAGGCCTCCTCTGCGCGTTCTGGGGCTGGAGAGCAGCACGCGCCAGCCCCACCACGAGCCAACATCCAGCTTGGAGAGGCAGACACAAAATGAAAGGGGAGAACGTCCCGGGAGTCAAGGGATCTTCGGGGGCCACGGAAAGGGGGTGGGTGTGGTCAGAGGGAGTAACAAACTGACGACACATGCTTTAACCCAGTGCCTGGGAGGCTGAGGCAGGAAGATGGGGTGCTGGAAAGACCCCAGACACAGGCACGTGGGTCTCTGACTCCAGGGCAGGGCCAGAACCACCTGGGTGGTGTTCACTGGTGCTATTTTGGGGGCAATCCCACAGGAAGGGTAGGGCTGCTCACGGGTGGATGGGCGGGAGGCTGGTGATGGTACCACAGGGCTTAGAAGGTGATGCCCATTTGAGAGTCTGTATCCCGAACGAGCGGTAAAGGAGATCCAGGCATCACCCCAAATGGCCAATGTCTCATTCCCTCCATCTGGCTGGCCACCACACCACCCCTTTCTCCATGCTGCCCAAGAGCCCTGGCTGCACTGTCTCCCCCGTACACGAGCCCCATGTGGCTGGCACAGACGCCCCGCCCCCCTGCAATTGCGGCTGGCACCCACGGCTCGAGGGAAAGGCCTCAGTGGAGGTCAAGGGTCGCAACCTCCTGAAGTCCCTGCGCAGTCTCTTTCCTGTCTCCGGGAACCAAACCAGAGGGGTCTGAATACTGGGGACATCTGACAGGGGAGCAGTTGGGGTAGCATGTGACCCTAGGTCTGTGGTCGCTACTCCCTCTGTGAGTGGCTCAGGTGATGGTGTGACCTCAGCTGCCTCTGCACAGAGTGAACACCTAGGCCATGGAGGCGACGGTGGGCAGGAGTGACACTTCCCTCCTGGACTAGGCTCGGCTGCCCACAGCCACTACATAAAGCCTGCCCTAGTCTCCAGCCGCACACAGCTGCACACGCCTGCCTTGGGGCCTTGGTACACGCTGGCCCTCTTGCTAAAGACAACCCCCTCGGAGTGTGACACGGTCCCTTCTGGATGGCAGCCACTCAGCACGCCTCATCAGCTCCTAATGTACCAGCTGCTGTCCGCCACCACTTCTCCCGACCCTATTTTCCCTGGTGACTAAAAAAAAAGCCACGACCTCAAATATCCCAGGCTGGCTTCAAACTCATGAGCCCCCCACTGGGGTTACAGGCATTCACCTGTACTCCTGGATTCCCTCGGAGACACGACATGGGCTTCCCCGACTGTGAGCCCAGGAGGGCAGGAGAGGGTCTAACCCTCAGTATGTCACCGGGTGCTGGGAACAGCGCTCGGCACCAGCAGACACTCAGCAAGTAACCATGGCAGAGAGTCACAAACAAGGACCACCCACAGCCGCAGATGCCAGCGTGGGCGACCGTCCATCCCGAGTCAGGGCGGAGGCCTACCTGGAGGGCCGGGATGCAGACGCAGTTCACCAGGTATGGCTTGTTGGTCTCCAGCAGGGAGACGAAGGCCAGCAGCTGGTGCCTGCAGCTCATTTGGTCCTTGGCATCTGGAGGGTGGGAGCAAGCGGCCAGCTCAGCCCCCCTGACTCCCAAGCTGCACACCCGCGACCACCCATCCGTCACTCGGGGCCTGATGGCACACGGCACACAGAAAGCATGCCCACCTCGGGTGAGGACACACTCCACCACAGCTCATGAGCGCTCTAGACTGCCCGACGCTAAGGAACTGCTGTCCACCCTGACGGTGCCATCAGCACTGTCCTGACACAAACAGTCCTTGTTGTTAATTGACCTGAAGTCTCGCATGAGCTTTAAAATGCTCCAGCAAGGGCGGGTGGGGTGGCTGGCTGGTAAAGGGGCTTGCCGCCAAGCCTGAGGACCCGAGTTCAATTCCCAGGACCCGCACGATTGAAGGCGAGAACTGACTCCCACAAACTGACCTCCCCATGCATGTGGTAACATGTTTGCCCTAAAACACACACAAAGTAAACAAAGGAAAATTATTACTGGTAAAATTAAATACACTGCAGTCAGGCGGTAGTGGCCCACCTCCCAGCATTTGGGAGGCAGAGGCAGGCGGATCTCTGTGAGTTCGAGGCCAGCCTGGTCTACAGGAGTTCCAGGACAGCCTCCAAAGTTACACAGAGAAACCCTGTCTCGAAAAACCAACAACAAACAAATAAAATGCTCCAGCAAAGTGAACATGATACTCCAGGAGGAAGGTAACAAGGGAGGGGGTGACAAATGGTGACAGTTATTGAGCTGCTCCAGGGCACACAGGGTTCATCACTACCTTATATGATTGGAAATTTTCAAGATGGAAAAAAGAGAGAAGAGGAGGAGCTGAGGCCGTCGCTGAACAGGGCCTTACTTATGCGAGGCTATGGGCTCAATATCAAGCACCACAAAAACAACAAAAAGGAAGGCAGGAAGGAAACAGAGCCGGTGGGGGGGGGGGCGTGCCTGGTCATGGTGCTCAGCAAAGCTGACTCTACGCCCGCCCCCGCCCCCCGAAAGCCGTGTCTTTGTCAGTGATCAACTCACTTCCCTCACACCCCAAGAGGGTGACCTGGCTCCTGAGCTTGCAGCCAGGCTACAGGGACACAGCGGCAGCCTGGGGCTGGGCCCCTGGGGCTCGGCCTGCAGGTCTTCACAAAAGCTGGGGAGGTTCCCTCCTCAGGCGGAGCCGAGGCTCTCACAGGCCGGCTGGATTCGGGCGATGGCCCACAAGCTCACCACCGTATGCTGCCCACAGCCACCTGGCAAGGCCACAGACTGGGGTGTGAGAAGGAGCCCTGGGGGACACCCGAGTGCGGGACCTGAGCTTGGAGCGTCACCGTCCCTCACAGGCCACCAGGGTCACTGTACCTTGGCTCCCTTCACGGCCCGAGGCCTCCTGCCCCTGTGTGTGCAATACTTCAGGGCTGTTGGCGAAGACACAGGTGGGGTGCAGCACGGTGCCCTGCTTGGCCTGGGTGTGGAAAATCTGCAGAGGCCAAAGGCGAGCACTGGGGCAGAGGCCACAGACCCGCTCCAACCAGTGCCCAGACCCCTCCTCTCCTCCCCCGGGGACCAGAGCCCTCCTTCATGACTGCACGCACATGCCTCCTCCTCACCCATGACCTCCTCAGGACCCTGCATAAGCTGGGTCTGACCTACTGCCCCGCCCCCCCTCCAGCCCTGCCATGCCCCCCTCCCGTGTGCAGAGCACCCCCAAGGGTCCTTCTGTCACACAAAGCTCCCGGAAGCCAGCAGGTACTCAGGAAACATGTTAAGTGACAGACTCGGGGACAGAGGGAGAGGGAAGCCCACCTGGTCCGTGTCTTTGCGGCCGCTGTTGAATGCATCGGGCACAGCCAGTTGTGGGTAGAGGCCCCGGCCCAGCACCAGCTTGAGGAGGGTCAGCTGGTCTCGGGTCAGGTCCTGGGCTGAGCTGGCTGCTGCCTGCAGCTGCTCCAGGTTGTGCCGAAGCTTGAACTTCACATCCTGCAGAGACAAGGATTTGGTGGTGGTGGCCCCGTGGTGACTCTAAGGATGGGCGCGCACACTCCCCCCGACGGCGCTGTGCTAGGCTGCGCGGGGTGGGAGGGGCTATGGAAATCATCGGGGTGACAGCAAGGCACCCCTCAACCCTGCCTCTCCTGTGTCACACACCCCTTTATGGCCCGGCTGTCCCACCTGGATGTCGACGCTGTCAGCCCGCTGGGAGGCGGGGCCTTCGTGGTCTTCATCACTGGAGCCGACATCCTCCTGCAGCCTCAGCACCTTGCGCCTTCGGCCCGCACCCTCCTCGTGCTGCCGCTTCAGCTGGTGCAGGGCCCGGCGCTCTCGGCGCTGCTGCAGCCGACTGTAGCTGTCCCTCGGGGCCTCTGCCTGGGCTCCACTCAGCAACCCGTGATCCTCCAGCAGCTCCTGCGGGCAGGAAGGGCACAGGTGAATGGGCACAGTTAATAATGGGCCCTGGGCTGGCATAGGCTCATAGGGTCCGTGTTCGCCTCGGTGCAAAAAGAGGGTGCCCCAGCTCCCCACGGAGCTAGTCGGGCACAGGTGGCTCACAGGGGGGTCATGGCAGATGCTCCCAGAGCTGCCCCCAGGCTCACTTGAGGGCTAGAGTAGGCTGCAGATCCTCTGACCCCAGAAGATTCCTCTCACAGCTGGACTGCGCTTGGGAACCTATCAGGGATGCCACATCTCAAGCCAGACATGGCCATGCATACCTGTAGTCCCAGCACTCAAGAGGCTGAGGCAGGAGGATCACAGGTTTAAGGCCGGCCAGGGCTACATAACAAGGCCCTATGAAAAAGAGAGGGACTGGGAGTTTCTGCTCAGCGACAGAGCACTTACCTATTGGGTGCACCACAAAAATACAAAAAGAGCAGGGCGGTGGCGGCGCACGCCTTTAATCCCAACACTCAGGAGGCAGAGGCAGATGGATTTCTGGAAGTTCAAGGCCAGCCTGGTCTACAGAGGAGAGAGAGAGAGAGGGAGGGAAGGAAGGAGGGAGGGAGGGAAGGAGGGGGGGGAGCCAAATCCCACCAATCTGGACCTTCCTACTCCAGAATGCAGTGGGAGTCGGTGATGGGAATCCAGATGGAAAGACCCGAGTCCCCACCACCACCACCACCCTGGCTATACTTTCAACAGTCCTCAAAGGATTCGATCTCATGGCCCCGTGTCCCACTGTGCCTGAGAACACAGCTGGCGTGTGTGTGCTCATCCAAGTGCTTCCCCGCCCTGATAGGGTCTCTCAGTGCCTGGGGCAACAAGGGCGGAATCACAGCTCCGGAAGCTGCAGGCACGGCATGGGGAGGGAATGACTGGGCCCAGCATGGCTCAGTGTGTCTGAGCTCCCTGTAAGCGATGACGGAGAGACAGAAGCCACAGGACCACGGGGTCCAGGCTCACGATGGTGAGCACATGCTCTGTTCTCATTCATCTCCAGTGACCGCAGTGACGCACTGTCCACACACACAGCCACCCACGTGCCTGTCAGGCAGCCATCTGGTGAGCTACGTACATTTGCTCGCTAGGATTCATGGAGGTTGCAAGACTGTCACAGCTTTCCTCTTCTGGTTCCCAGGGGGAAGCTAAGGCCCAAAGGACAGCATGTGCCCGCAGCCACACTGTCACAGTCAGAACGTGGCAGAGTCGGACACGCTGCACGACGCTGGGCTCCAGACACACTGGCTGTCTTATCATATATTCCACGGTCCCCAGCACTTAGCCTAAGCTGAGGGCCCAGAGTGGCCTTCACCATCAGGATGCCACACAGCCCAGGGACCCATACACCTTCCCAGGACGCCCCAGTCCTGTTCGGAGGCTTAGACAGCGATACGGTGAGGCCCTGGTCACCAAGGAGGGTCTGCTCCTCACCTTGAACTGGCGCCGGAGGTTGGCCATCTCGTACAGCCGGTGCTCCTCCACACCCCGGCGGCGGCACCACTTGCGAGAGTTCTTGTTCCGCTCAGACTTCACCTGGTTGAGGGGCAGATACCTCAGGGTCAGGGACTGGCCAGCTCGGGGAGGGAGCCCCAGCATAGGAGGCTCTGAAGCCCCCCACCCACCCAGGACTCAGCCTCAGCGCTGATCCCCACTGGGTTAGGCGCCAAGAGTCACGGGTGAGGGATCAGGAATGGCGGACAGGGAATACAATGTCCCCAGGTTGACTGGCTTTTCTCCAGACAGCACTGGTTTCTGTCAGAGTTGATGATCTCCAGCTCCGGGTTGATCCTGGGCTTAGGCATTGGCTGTCTCTGGGCCCCAGGGACAAGAGATCCCTTAGGTAGATTCAGGGCTCAGACTCATGGGGACACTACAGCTTCAAAAGATCCTCCAACTGGGTAGAAGGACCAAGGCGCCCCGCCCACCCAGCTCAGCCTCACCTGCACCCAGGCGTTGAAGACATTGAAGAGTGTGAAGGGGTCCCCCTGGTCACTTTCCAGGGGCCGCCGGGCTGTGGCACAGTCCAGGTTGCTCTGGGCGCTGCGGGTGAATGGTGACTGGACGCTGAGGGCAGCAGCGATTGTCAGCACAGGCTCTGCCAGGCTGAACATGGAGCCCAGGATCAGCATCTTCCCTGTGGGCGGCAGGGCGGAGCTAAGTCTTCCCAGGCCCTGGGAGAGCAACCATTGTGTTCTGGGGGATTGGAGCGGCCTCATCGTACCTCCTTTCCCCTGGCCTCCGGAACCAGATGGGCAGATTCAAACCCACAGGCCAGGATTTGTGATCTCGTAATCTTGGCTTGAGCCTCTGTCTCCCCATCTCTCCGCTGGAGGTGACCAGAGTTCCTATCCCCTAGGCCCGCCCGCAGGGCTCTGGTTAGTGCTGGCCAATAACTCTGAGCTACCTGTGTGTTCACAACGGCGTCAACTGGCCCTGCCTCATTGATTTCCTTGGCTCTCCATGGCCAATGGAGACCTGCACCGCCTGCCCTGGTCTGTTCTGGAGATGACCGTGCTTATTGCAGAATAAAACTACTGCAGCCTTCACTTAGTCCAAGGACAAGGAGGAGGCAGAGGGGGGTAGTAGAGGGAGAAAGGGGTTTAAAAGGGAGGTGAAGGGGAGCGGGAGGCCATGGGGAGAAAAGCGGTGGGCACGGAACTCAGTGCGGCGGACGCGCTGTAGAAACCTGCTTCCTTGGGCTGCAGAGACGGCTCAGAGCTTGAGGACACTGGCTGCTCTTCCTGAGGTTCCTGAGTTCAGTTCCCAGAACCCACATGGTGGCTCACAACCATCTGTAATGGCATCTGCTGCCTTCTTCTGGCAGGCAGGCAAACATGTGGTACAGAACACTGTATACAAAATAAGTAAATAAATCTTGAAAGGAGAAGAAACCAGTGTCCCTACATGCAGGCCTATCGTTGGAGAGCAGGGACTCCCATGGCTCTGGAGACCTGTGCAGACACAGGACTCTCCGGGAGCTCAGGCCGGCTCTCCTCCAGTTCCCGTCACACACTGGCCCCATGGAATGAGAGGCACCGAAGCGAGGCTGCAGCCGGGCTGGGCAGGGCCAGGCCTGCACCGGGTCCCTGCCACTCACCAGTGAAACGGAACAATGGGCTTCTGGGGACTGCCCTGGCTCCATCTGGGTTTCACTGTGGGGCACTCAGGGCCAGCCACCGTGGGCCGCCTGGGCCTCGCGCCCACCCGCTGCTCTGCCACTGTGCCCGCTTTCCCTCAGGCGTACGTGGGTCAGAGACTCCCACCTCAGGAGGTGGCTCGCCTGAAGACACCGTGGGGCATGCCAGCTCCCCTGCTGAGCCTGCTTCCTCACCCATCCTGGGGAGGCTCAGAGGAGATGCAGGACGGCCTGAGGCTCCCATGACAGGAGCCCCAGGAAAGCCCTTTAGCCCTCAGCTGATTCCTTTACTCTTGTCTGACTCCCTCTCGACAGACAAGCCAGCCATCTGGGTAGGCCCTGGAGGCCTCCGAGACCACGGCAGCCAGCTTCCCAGGGCCGCTCCACTGGGCCCGAGAAGGATCGCCTCAGCCGCAGCTGTGGGCAGTGGTGTGTGGGTGGCCCTGCTGAGGCGGCAAACTGTGGGCTGTGGTGGAAAGGGCCTGGTGAGTCAGGAGAGCTGAGGTACGGGAATGACTCAGAATGAGCAAGAGGAAGAGACAGCCTGCTTGACACATCCGGTGACAAAACAGGGCCACCAGGGCAGAGAGGGGATAGGCTGTGCAGACGAGAGGGTGGACCTGTGTCTGAGAGCCCTGGCCGCCTTGCCTGACCTGCCTCAGGGTGACAGTGGCTAAAGGCCTGTCTTGTCAGCAGCTCTTGCTCAATTAGGCACTCCCAACGTTAGCACCTGAAGTGCGATAACTGCCCTAAGACGGCGTGTCCTAACAGTGTGTCACTGCCTGCCCGACAGAGTTCATGGGCCTGGTCCCTCAGGGCAAACACCCCCTCTTGGTCACGGGTGGAGACAGGCTCGCTCCATCTGCTCCAAGCCACTGAAGACCTCAACAGTGGAGCAGGTGACAAGGGCCCCGATGGGCCTGGACCTCCTAGCCTTCTTACTCAGCAGGCTGACCTCTTCATTTTCTACTCGCTTCCTGCCCCATAGAGCAGAGCCCTTAAACACTCCTGTCCTTCACCCAGAGCCTCTCACTGACCCCAAGACAGACAGAGCAATGTCTGACATCACGTGTCTGCCTGAGTGCCAGCGTGCCCCCCCCCCCCCGCCACCCAGTGCCCTCCCAGGCGGTGCTGCTGTGTCCCTGCAGGAGTAGACCTGCCCTCCTCCCGTGCATGAAGTGTGATCTCCATGAGAGTAGCATCGTTGTCCCACTGGCTTCTAGAATACTCCTAGCCCGTGGCATTTAACAATGTGGCTAACACTGTTGCAGGGACACCTCGGCTGCTGGAAGCCAGGGAGCAATTTACTGTGTCACACTGGCCCGTGGGCCTCTAGTGGAATGACATTCAAAGGGCTCAGGCCCCAGCATCACGATGTTGGGGCTTTATTCGTTTTTGCTTTCTCTGCCACATACATTTCGATGGAGGGCTTTAAATCCTAGGCGGGGAGGGCTGGAATGAGAATGGAGGGAAGGAAGGGGCTGCAGAGATGTGGTCAGGTCTTGCCGGGGCATGCATACCGGGGCTGGACCCTGACCTGCCCCAGTGGCCGCCTCCTGTTTTCCTTCTCTTGGCCTTCTGAGGCCTTCTCCTCCCTGAACCTCATCCGCCCTCTTCCCCTGCCAGCCCCACAGGCTTCCTCGATCACAACGGAAGGCTCCAACCACAGGCGTCTGCACTGGCCGCTCCCTCGGCCTGACATGCCTTTCTGCCGCACTGTCCAGCATGGTAGCCACTAGCCACAAGTGGGCTGATCCAAACACGTGTGCTGGCATAGTGGACCTTCCAGCCGTACGCGAAGAAACCACATAAATACTGTGAACCATTTTGTGCCAAGCATGCTTTGGGTGTCTTTGTTTAAGCAAAGCGAATGATCAAAAACGGATTCCCCTGTCTCCGTTTGCTGAGTCTGAAGTTAGTCATGCTACCTCTGGCTGACGCTGGGAATGTACTGCCCACACTGTCCACACCCTCATCGCCACCCTGCACACAACTGTTGGCTTCCCTCGAGTGACAGTGGGGCCTGGCTGTCCCAACACCTCCTGTCTCTCTCTGTCACACCTGGGCCATCAGGCCCCTGAGCACACCGCTCACTTTCCTGGTCTGTGGGTGTTGTGTTCACCGCCGCACCCCAGCTCCAGGCGCTGGACCCTCGGGAATGAGCTTCTGTATGACACGGAATGTCCTGGCAAGGCCTGGACCACTCAGAAGGAGCAGGTCAGTGAGCTCCGCAGGAGGGGACCCTTACCAATGACAACGTCTACAGGCAGCTGGGCCAGCAGAGACCCGATGGGGGTGAGGGCCTCGGAGCTGTCCAGGGCCCCCTGGTCTCGGAGATACAGGATAGCAGTTTCCAGGCTGGCAGGTGGAGGGGGCTCGATGAAGGGGAAGGTCCGGGGGTCTCCCACACTCATACTCTTCATCTGAAACGAGAAGCAGACGTCCTTAGGGGACACAGGAGCCACTGTGGCACACGGGTGACAGGGTATCAATTTTACCAAACTCCAAAATGTCTACACGGGAGGAACTGCAACCCCTCAACCCACTAACTAAAGCAACTGACTTCCGGGGAGCATGTGACCGACTGACTTCCGGGGAGCATGTGACCGACTGACTTCCGGGGAGCATGTGACCGACTGACTTCCGGGGAGCATGTGACCGACTGACTTCCGGGGAGCATGTGACCGACTGACTTCCGGGGAGCATGTGACCGACTGACTTCCGGGGAGCATGTGACTGAGCTGGGCCAATCTGAAAATGTCCCTGGGACAAGAACCACTGCAGCTGGAGCGTCCTTGACACCCTGGGGGGTTGGGGGGCTGGGTGGAAGCCTAGAGTGACCGGGTTGATGTACCACATAGACTGGTACACCAAAGCAGAAAATTCATTCTCTGAACTGCCCCTCAGCTGGGCAGGCCGCCTCTGAGGGGACAGTGACACACCTGTGACAGTGTTGGAGAATGTGACAAGCTAGGCTCATCTCGGCATACAAGCCAAGTACCTCTCTGGAGAGCAGATGAAAGGAGGTTCGTCAAGAGAGTTCAGAGAGCATGCCTGGATCATCTGGGGCTTGGAGACTCTGCCCGTCCACCTGGCCACCCCACCTCCACCCCGTCGCCTGACGTTGTTGAAAAGAATGTCTAATGAGTAAAAACGTGACAGTGTCATCCCAGTACTCAAGAGGCTGAGGCAGGAGAATTCGGAGTTCAAGGACAGCCTGGGCTATCAAGTGAGATCCTGCCTACACACGCACACGCACACACGAAGACTTGAAAATAAAATTTCAGAAAGTGAGCGAAAGTGAAGAGTGGGGCGTTTTGCTTTAGATTTCCCACCCTGCCAGGCCAGCGCTTCTGAGTTTGTATGCTGACTTCCAGATAGGGTTTCTTTGTACAGCCCGAGCTGTACAAATTCTACATCCTCCTAATCCAGCCTCCTGGGTGCTGGGATTCCAGGCATGTCCCCTCCCCCCGGTAAGCCAGATGGACAAGTCACCAGTGAGTCAAGGGATCTGAGTCGTGTCACAATCAAAGTCCCTTTCAAACTTGAGTCGGAATAGAAGATGCCAGAGTGTGCGCCTGTAGGAAGGGCACCGGCTTGTGCCACGCCCAGACACGCCTGGGCAGCCTGGGAACCAAGGCTTTCTCTCCTCTTTCTCGTTCAGTCTTTGGCAGTGAACCTGGGGCCTCACACGGGCTAGACCGTGTTCTACGTCTGAGCTCGACTGCCAGCTCTCTCCACTTTTCAATTTACGACAGGAACTTACAGCTTAGATCATCGTGCCTTGGACCCGACCTTTCCGCCTCCACCGCCAGAGCGTTGGGGTGACAGGTGCGGCCGCCATGCTGGCTCTACTCACGGCAGGCAGGCAGGTGCTCTCCAGCCGAGCAGCAGCCTCGGTCCTGCTGCGACTCTGCACACCCCTGCTCAGCGTTTCACTGTGTAGCCCTGGCTGTCCTGAAACTCGCTTTGTAGACCAGCCTGGCCTCAAACTCACAGAGATCCGCCTGCCTCTGCCTCCCGAGTGCTGGGGTTAAAGGCGTGCGCCGCCGCCACGGGGCCCAGTGCTGGGTTTTGTATCAGGGTCCCGCGCCTGCCTGTCTTAAACCCAGGCTCCTCTCCCATGAAACGCCCCATGAAGACAAGTGCTGTCATCCTTGGAGGCAAAGGCAGGAGGACAGCTGCAAGTCAAAGGCCAGCCTAGAAGAGCTGATTGTGATCACAGTGCCTTAAACCCAGCACTCAGGAGGCAGAGGCAGGCAGATTTCTGTGAGTTCAAGGCCAGCCTGGTCTACAAAACAGAGAAACCTTGCCCCCAAACCACACATGTCCCCACACACACACACAAAGGCAAGCCTGGGCTACACAGTAAATTCCAGACGATCCAGGAGTAACTAGAGATCCACCCAAGAGAGAACGAGAGTAAGATCCCATGAGGATCCTTGTCACAGTAACTAAACCAAAGCTACCCTAACGGACAAAGGTTGTGACTTCAATGTCTTTTTTTTTTTTTTTTTTTTTTTGGTCTTTCGAGACAGGGTTTCTCTGTATTGTTTTGGAGGCTGTCGGTCCAGCCCAGCCTGGAACTCACAGAGATCCGCCTGCCTCTGCCTCCCAAGTGCTGGGATTAAAGGCATGCGCCACCACTGCCCGGCGTGACTTCAATGTCTTAAGGAATCTAGTGTCAAAAGCTACTTTGCACTGAGCTCTGTTCCCAGCCACAGCCCCGTCTGTGCCCTTGGATCTGAGGAGCAGCGATCCAACCTGAATGTGGCCTCCCAGGGTGTGGACAGCCCTGACTGGGTCAAAGCCCCTCCCCACTCCCCCCTGGCAGCCGAGGTCAGGGGGCCTCACCTGAAGTACCAGTGCGTCCAGGGCCACCCTGCGAATTTCTGGGACTGGGTATGGAGCGAAGGCATCGTAGTCAGACTCAGCATAGAGGCGGTAGCAGACACCAGGGCCCGTGCGGCCCGCTCGGCCCTTGCGCTGCTCCGCGCTGGCCTGGCTGATCCAGAATTCCTGCAGCCGCTGCAGCTTGGCCTGGGGGTCGTAGCTCATCTCCTTCACCTTCCCTGGGCCAAGAGGAGGGAGGAGTGGGTGCCGGGGAACATCATCAAGAAGAGCTAGGCTCCTGCTCAACCCCACACAAGCCGCTCTGCCACGCTCCCGAGGGAGGGACTGTGGTGGAGCAGACGCTGAGGGACACTGGGGTGCGGCCTGGGCTCCACCGTTGCCCTGCCGTGCGGCCTGGGGCTCTGTGGCCGCATCTGTGCCTCTCTGGCTGGGCCTGTTTCTCCCGGGTCCTCGTGGTGGTGCGTGGGCCCGTGGTATCATGGGGCGTTTTACACGCCACCACTAACTGCTAAGGCTCCTGGGCATTCACACTGTACCAGGAGCCTGACTTACGCTTTCTTGCAACCTAAGGATGGTGTTGTTACTATTTCCGTCGTACAAAAGTGTCAATGACAAGACCCCACTGGCCAGCTCTGATGTATCTTAGCAGATAGCAGATAGATGTAAGCTTGGAATGTCTGAGGGACACTGGGGTGTTGCCTGGGTTCCACAGTTCAACACCGCCTCCGCCCTGCAGTGTCCTAGCCCTGTGGCCGCATCTGTGCCTCTCTCGCTGGGCCTACGTTTCTCCCGGGTCCTCATGGTGGTGCGTGGGCACTGAGTGCCACCCTTACCAGAATCCACCACGAAGCGGATCCCGTCGATGGTGACAGAGGTCTCAGCAATGTTGGTGGACAGGATGCACTTCCGGACTCCAGCTGGAGCCACATCGAACACCTGGGACGAGGAAGGAGGTCACATGAGTGACTAACTCAGCCCTGATGGACCTGCTTGCTCAACAGCCTTCTGGATCTTCCAGGAACACTTCACCGACGGCCGAAAACAGCCTCAGCATCCTCCCTGCAACTCACCTCATCCTCTGTTCATCGCCTGAGCCATCCTAGGCCTCCCTCCCTTAGCCCCTTAGTTCCCTGAACCCCTTCACCATCCCCAAGCCCTGGCCCTTTCCCCTAGTCCAGGCCCCTCCATCTCTACCCTCAGCCCACAGAACTGCTCTCTGGCCTCCAGGTTCCAGTTAAACGCACTCTAACCCACGCGCCCATCCACGTCCCCACACTGTTCAGCCTGGCTCCCCAGTATACTGGAGATGAAGTCTGGCCACTACACTTGAGGTTTCAGAGGCCCTGTGGTCCAGCCCCACCCGTCAGCCCCATCTCTCTTGACTTCTTCAGGCTGTCACCAAGGCCACTTTTGCAGAAGCCCTTCTCTAGGCTAGGCACAATGGCTAAGAGTGACAACCATGGCCACATCCAGTCTGCCATGTGTCTTTATAAATAAAATTTCCCTGGAACTCAGTGAGGGAGCCCATGGCCTACACACCTGAAATCAGAACCTTCGGGCCTTTCGTAGAAAATATGCCGACTCCTGGTTAAGATCGCCAGGGCCACAGCTCCCGGATTTACGGGCTGCTCGGCCATTTGATGGCTGTAACCCCATACAAGCCCACGGTCCTGGGGCTGGGGGAGACAGCCAGCGCTGTGTGTAGGCACATTTGGTTCCTGCCCTGGAGACTCCAACCAGCCCTGCCCGGGAGGCTGCACGCAGTACCTTGTCTTGGTCGGCCACAGAGAGAGCGCTGTGCAGTGGCAGCACCACCCAGCGCTGGGTGAGGCTGGCGTAGGCCTGGGCAGCGTCCAGCACCGTACTGATCTCTGCCATGCCACTGAGGAACACAAGGAGGTCCCCCCGCTCCTCGGGGGGATACTTATTGTCGATGGCCTCCAGCACTCGCAGGAAGGGACGTGGGTCCAGCTTCTCGGACTTGGACGTGGTCTGCTCTGCCTCCTGCGGCTGGTACACTACCTGTGACAGAGAGCCGGCGCGGGAACGCACTGTCACTCTAGAGCAGAGATGTGGCAGGGACCGTGGGCTCACGGGGGGGGACACACGACCACAGCACAGCTGGTTGGCAGGCGGCACGCTCAAGGTGGGCGACTTTTGGAGGAGACGGTGAGATCAAAGAGCAGTGAGGTAACACGAAGGCTGGCTTTGGCAGTGCCGGAGGGTGTAAAATCTAGGTGGTGACAACAAATGTGTACGAACTGGGCAACAGCACATACGCTCTTACAGAATCGTACCCTGCACAAGCGAGAGCTGAGCCTGCGAGGAACCCACTCAGGACGTGTTAGGAAGCATCTTCATGGGCATGCATGCAGAACAACAAACTCCTAGCAACAAAGACACCCTGCCCGAGAGCGCTTGACTGCGCCAAAGAGGACAGAGCCTTACTACACAATCCGGACCGTTCCAACGGGAGGACGAGAGCACATCTGACACATAAGGGAGGGATGCAGTTACACATCTCACACACACACACACACACACACACACACACACACACACACACACACACATGGAGGGAGGGATGCAGTCACACATCACACACAGAGGGAGGGAGGGATGCAATTACACATCACACACACACGCACACACACACACACGCGCATGGAGGGAGGGAGGGATGCAGTTACACATCACACACACACACACACACACACACACACGGAGGGAGGGATGCAGTTACACATCACACACACACACACACACACGGAGGGAGGGATGCAGTCACACATCACACACACACACACACACACACGGAGGGAGGGATGCAGTTGCAAACACACACACAGAGGGAGGGAGGGATACAATTACACATCACACACACACACACGCATGGAGGGAGCGATGCAGTTACACATCACACACACACACACACACACGGAGGGAGGGATGCAGTTACACATCACACACACACACACACACGGAGGGAGGGATGCAGTTACACATCACACACACACACACACACACACACACACACACGGAGGGAGGGATGCAGTTACACACACACACGCACACACGGAGGGAGGGATGCAGTTACACATCACACACACACACACACACACACACACGGAGGGAGGGATGCAGTCACACATACACACACACACACACGCACGCACGCACACACACACACACGCACGCACACACACACGCATGGAGGAAGGGATGCAGTTACACATCACACACACACACACACACACACGGAGGGAGGGATGCAGTTACACATCACACACACACACACACACACGGAGGGAGGGATGCAGTTACACATCACACACACACACACACACGGAGGGAGGGATGCAGTCACACACACACACACACACACGCACGCACACACACACGCACGGAGGGAGGGATGCAGTTACACATCACACACACACACACACACACACACGGAGGGAGGGATGCAGTTACACATCACACACACACACACACACACGGAGGGAGGGATGCAGTTACACATCACACACACACACACACACACACACACGGAGGGAGGGATGCAGTTACACATCACACACACACACACACACGGAGGGAGGGATGCAGTCACACACACACACACACACACACACGCACGCACACACACACGCACGGAGGGAGGGATGCAGTTACACATCACACACACACACACACACACACACGGAGGGAGGGATGCAGTTACACATCACACACACACACACGCACGCACGCACGGAGGGAGGGATGCAGTTACACATCACACACACACACACACGGAGGGAGGGATGCAGTTACACATCACACACACACACACACACACACACACACACACACACGCACGCACGCATGCACGGAGGGAGGGATGCAGTGAGAGGTCCTAGGATGACAGTCCCTGCCCTGCAAGATGGTAGAGCTGTGAGGAAGGAGGTGCCCGAGTCCCTGAGGGACCACATGGAGCAGAGCAGCCTGCCGCCTGTCAAGGGACCAGACCCTCCCCAGCCCCTGCTTAGCAGCCATGACAGGCTGCAGAAAAGACCCAGCAGGATGTGCTTGCCTGACCTTACCCGACCTCCTAGTCACAGGAAGTCAGATGCCCTCCAGTGGCAAGGAACCAATTAGAAGTTAGCTGGCGGGCTCTGGACGTGCTTTACGGTAACAGTGTCATAACAGTGACTGCCGAGCACAGCAACCGTCCTGGGAGGGCCTACAGGCCCTAGCAACCAGTTGACCAATCAACACAGGTCACCCAAGTCAGGAAGCGCACCAATCCTGAGACTGTTGCATACCCCTAGACACTCCCCTTGCTCACCCCAATAAATTCCCTGCCTCAGTTTCCCTGGGTCCTTCTCATTCCACCTGCCATGATAAACAGTTGAAGGGTCCGAGTTAAGGCAGTTAACTGGTTAATAATAAAAGACTGTTTTTGCATCGGAATGGGTCTCTTAGTGATTTTGGGGTTCAGAATTTGGGCACAACACCTGGAAGGGCTGGATTTCCTACAAGAAAAATATGCTTCTCCCATAGCGGGCCCTAGCAGGTCGGAATGCTCAGGGACCAGATGCTTTAAGGGGAGAGGCCGCTGTAGGCTGCAGAGACGGGAAACGGTAGTGGGGAGCAGAGGCGGGGAAGCCAGGGCTCACCGTGATGGGGAAGAGCCTCCCAGGAACCTGCACCACAGGGGCATGGCTGAAGTAGCTGGAGAAGAGAGAGATGTTGATGGTGGCCGACATGAGGATGACCTTGAGGTCAGGCCGCCCGGGCAGCAGGCGGCGCAGGATGCCCAGCAGGAAGTCATTGTGCAGGTGCCGCTCGTGGACCTCGTCCACGATCAGGACCTGGTACTGGGGCAGGGTGGGCTCGCGCTGGATCTGGCGTAGGAGCAGCCCGACCGTCAGAAACACGATCTTGGTGGCCGCCGAGCGTGTGCTTTCAAAGCGGATCTGGTAGCCAACCTGGGGGGGGGTGTGAGGACAGAAGGAAGAGTCTTGGCACCAGAGATCCTCCCTGTCCGACACGGCGGTCTGAGGCAAAGTCGTGTCTGTGCCATAGACTCGAGTCCTGTGGGCTTGGCGTGGAATCACAGCTCTGCTGTGAGGCCGTTTACCTAGGCACACAAGGCCACCCTAGAGACCGCATTTCCTTCCCTGGAGGCACACGCCTATGTGTGGTTATGATCACACAGTGTCTGGGGCGGTTCCTGACCATCAGGGTAATGGAGAGTTACAGGCTAGGGATGCCGCCCCGTGACAGAGCAACTGTTTAGCATGGATGAAACCCTAGCTCAACCCCCAGCACTCCCACAGAATCAGAATTTCCTAATGGCTGCTAGGAAATAAGATAGATGAGTATTACGGATGCTCCCACCTGTCTGGTGGTTAGGGTTGCTACCCTGGATAATGCTAGCGCCGCTGTCATTTGGACCCTGTACAACCTGACATGCAGATATGAGTTCTAGAATCATCTCTGAGTCAGTGCCTAGGTGATAACTTTAATGCACATCGCCGTGAGGACTATCAACTCATTCCCTGGGGTCTCACTGGAAAACCTGGCGAGCCGCACCACTCACCTGGGAGCCATACTGGCTGAGGCTCTCGAAGCCGACCCGCTTGGCCAGTGAGATGCAGGCGATTCTCCGCGGCTGAGTGCATGCCACATGACTGAAGCCTGCAGCCAGTAAGTACTGGGGGACCTGAGTAGATTTGCCGCAGCCTGTGTCACCAGCCACCACCACCACCTGGTGCTCCTTGAGAGTCTGCAGGATGCGGTTCCCGTACTGGGCGATGGGAAGCGCGGCCCGCTCGCGCTGCAGTTTGGCCAGCCGCCCAAAAGCCTGCTTCTGCGCGAAGTCCAGGTAGTGGAGCAGTGCCCGACGGAACTCGGACACTCTCTCAGGGGGCAAGCGTCTGCCCGGCCCCTGACAACTCCGAGGGTCCGGGCCGAGGATGGAGAGATTGATGCGGTAGCGTGCGTCATATGCGCGAGGTAGATCAGCCAGAGCAGGGATGCCGCGTTTGGGATGGCCAGGGTCCTTCTCCTCCTTCCTAGGGGCCTTGAGGTGCTGAAATCTCTGCAGGCGTTCAAAGAAGGCCCAGAACTTCTGGCATTCCTCAGAACCACGGCGAATGTAATCCTCATCACGGAAGAATACGTCTTCCAAGAGGCGACGAGTCTCAGGGCAATTCCAGTCCCATTTCTCGGCGGCCTCTTCTTCCCTGGGAGCTCGATGGTGGTGTCGGTCTCGGTGGTCCCTCTCCTCCCTTGTCCTGGGAGGAGGCATGGCCTCTCACAGTGCTGTCAGAAGCAGTCTCCCTTCTGCTCACTTCGACCGAGTGTCCTCACCTACACCCCATGCTCCATCTCCTAGAAAAGCAAACTCCCCTTTCCTTGTACGGGAGCACTGTGGTGGATGGCAGGCTGGGTACCCAGGGGCCTGGGGGAGCTGGGGATGTACAAGGTACCTCATGACTTCTGCAGGGACCTCTGAGGAGGACGTAGGTTCATCCTGGACTGCCAGGTCCTGGATGCTTGGAGAAGAAAGGAGAAGACACCCATTCACTTTTAGAAAATCGATTAAAAGCCTGCTGTTCAGCCGGGCGGTAGTGGCGCACGCCTTTAATCCCAGCACTCGGGAGGCAGGGGCAGGTGGATCTCTGTGAGTTCGAGGCTGGGCTGGACCAACAGCCTCCAAAACAATACAGAGAAACCCTGTCTCATAAAAACCAAAAAAAAAACAAAAAAACAAAAAAAAAGCCTGCCGTTCTTCAAGCACTGGACTAGGAAGGGGAGGTTGTGAATGCTACCACATGTAGACTCTTGTAAGAAGGAATAGCAGAAATAGTGAAAATGGGGAACGGACTTTTCATCCGGTGTCGGGCTTCACAACACTGAATGAAACCCCTTGAAATTGAATTTTTTAATTGAATTTCATTTATTTACTTATTTATTTTGGTTTCTCTGTGTAGCTTTGGAGCCTGTCCTGACACTCACTCTGTAGACCAGGCTGTTGAACTCATAGAGACCCGCCTGCCTCTGCCTACCAAGTGCTGGGATCAAAGGTGTGCGCCACCACTGCCCGTCGAATTTGAATTCCTCTAACAGAAACTGAATTTGAAAATGAAAACACATTTCTATGGTGCTAGGGATTGGCTTTGCCTGCCTGGCACATGCCATCCTTTGGTAAGTTTCCACCTTCCTTCAGAGAACAGCCCATCACATCCACATGGCTCTGGTGGGCTGGGCAAACCACAAAGGCCTGGCCAATCACGGTACTCTTCTTTCTCCCCTTTTAATCAGTGATTGGTCAGAAGACTGGACACATAAGCCAATCAGGTTCCTACCCTCGAATTCTCTCTCTCTCTCTCTCTCTCTCTCTCTCTCTCTCTCTCTCTCTCTCTCTCTCAAACACACACACACATACAAATAAATAAAACGTAATAAAGGGGTTGCTTATGAATATAAAAGGAATCACACACTTCCTTGGTTAAGAACCTAGCAACAAATAGATCATCAGGTCTGAATCTGACATTTACCATGAGCAAATAAATTTATTTAAAGTGGTTTTCTTCATGTATAAAACGGAGGCAATAGTCATCAAATACCAAAACACTGGCAAAGAAGCAAAAGAGAAACTATTACTCAAATTCAGTGTTTTCTCCCCACAATAAGAGATTCCAACACTTGGAAAACATCAAAGACAGAGTGGCATCCAATCTGGGGGGATTACACAAGGCCACAAATCATCCCCTGATGACATTAGCAATTTCCACAACTCAGCCTTCAGTCTCAGAGGCTAGGGGTTTGCTTTATGCCGTCGCCGGGGTGGGAGGGTGGGGACCTAGTCCAATCCTAGGATCTATTGGAGCTACATTTTGGCTTCCAGTGAGGAAGTCCTTGTGAAGTGGCAGGGTTGATTCCCCTAGACAGACACTGGGCACTGTAGCAGAGTACATCACTTTTTTGTTTGGTTTTTCAAGACAGGGTTTCTCTGTGGCTTTGGAGGCTGTCCTGGAACTCACTCTGTAGACCAGGCTGGCCTCCAACTCACAGAGATCCACCTGCCTCAGCCTCTCAAGTGCGCCACCACTGCCTGGCTAACTTGCTTTTTCTTAAGCTTTATTTGTTTTTGGAGACAAGAGTCTTCCTCCGTAGTCTGGGTTAACCCACAGTCCTCTGCTTCAGCCTCCTGTGCTCAGAGCCACACCTGGTGCCTGGCCCTCATTTATGTCTACGATGCTCCACTCAATACTTTCATCTCCCAGTGGTCTGTGTGTGTGTGTGTGTAGTCTCAACCATGTATGCACTGGTCTCTGTGTGTATGTATGTGTGTATATAGTCTCAAACATGTATGCACTGGTTTGTGTGTGTGTGTGTGTGTAGTCTCAACCATGTATGCACTGGTCTCTGTGTGTATGTGTGTGTGTATAGTCTCAACCATGTACGTATGCACTGGTTTGTGTGTGTGTGTGTAGTGTCGCACTGGTCTCTTTCTGTGTGTGTGTTCCCAACCAAGTATGCACACACTTAGGTTCGCTTTTTCTCGGCATTAAGAAAACGCCATCCCCACTCTATTTAACTACACTAAATAAGCGGCGGGAGACACGTGGACTTGGGGTGCATCTCTTCCTCTGCGTCCTTTTTCAGAACGACTCTCCGTCACCTCCCAAGTCGGAGGGCTGTCTCCAAACTCCGTCTTCCCCTACGTGTGGTCCTCACCGCCGTCCAGTCTTCCCTCCCAACCTGCTCCCGGCGCCCTCGGGAGCCTCGCGGGGAGGCTCCCACCACCCTGGGCCCCCTTTCCTCCCCAGCCGCGGACCCCTGGTCTGTCTGCGCTCCCAGCCATCTCAGCTCCGGGCCTCTCCGGATTCCCACTCCGCATGCACGCCGCCAGGGCTCCCTGGGTCCCGGCTTCGCGGCACAGCCCTTCGTTAGACCGGGGCTCTCCCCACTGCCCGGCCGGCTCCGAACCACCCCGAAACACGTCCCGCGGAGGGCACGGCCGCCACGCAGTCGCCCCGCACGCACGCACGCCCCGCCCCTTACCTTAGACACAGCGGCGGACGCCCCAACTTCCGGCCCCTAAGTGGTCTGCGCCTGCGCAGCAGCCCGCTACCGCGCGACCTTGCCTCTCTGTACAAAGGAGCCAATAGGAAGCAGGGGCGGGTGGGCCAATCGTGGGCAGGAGCCAATAGGGAGAAGGGGGCGGGCCAATGGTGGGGCTGCTCATTTCAGGCAGCATCTCGGGCGATTTGGCGCCCTCTAGAGGCCGGAGCGGGGTTACAGGTAGCTGCCTAGCCCTGGCTCTGCTCTTCCCCGCAGCAGATTGCACCTCAGGATTTAGGCAAAGGCACGGTTTGGTGCTAGCAAGGGAGCTCTGAACTATTAAAACTGCCCAGTGGCGGGACGCGGTGTGAACGCCTTTAATTCCAGCACCTGGGAGGCAAAGGCAGGAGGATCGCTGAGGGCTGAAGGCCAGCCTGGTCTACATAGTGGGTTCCAGGTCATCCAGGACTGCATACTGAGCTGTCTCAAAAATTAAGTTAATAAAAGACTCATATGAAGCCGGGCGTTGGTGGCGCACGCCTTTAATCCCAGCACTCGGGAGGCAGAGGCAGGCAGATCTCTGTGAGTTCAAAGCCAGCCTGGTCTACAGAGCTAGTTCCAGGACAGCCTCCAAAACAATACAGAGAAACCCTGTCTCAAAAAACAAAAACAAAAACAAAACAAAATTCATGTGATTGCTCTACTAATATAACTCAGTAATAAGTAGTCAGATCTGACCCTAGCACCCTGAAGTCAGGGGCCAATCTGTGTCCCTCAAAGCCTGCTACAGAGCCACAGATGTTGAATTAATGAGTAAGTGGGTAAGAAAAGACTCTAGAGAAAACTACTCAGTACTCCTAGATGGACCAATCACTGGGGAACTGAGCCTCAGTTTCCCCATTTATAACTTAAGAATACCTGTTTTTTCAAACCTTTTGCCAAAATAAACCACTGAAAATTGTATATATATACATACATACATACATACATATATACATATATATATATATATATATATATATATAGCCAGGCAGTGGTGGCACCACACGCCCTTAATCCCAGCTCTCATGGAGGCAGAGGCAGGTGATTCTCTGAGTTCAAGGAAGGGGATTTACTAGAATGACTTACAGGCTATGGTCCAGCTAATCCAACAATGTCTGGCTATGAATGGAAAGTCCGAGAATCTAGAAGTTGCTCAAGCCACGAGGCTGGATGTCTCAGCAGGTCCTCAGTACGTGCCGGAATCCTGCAAAAATAGATTCTGATGCCAGTGAAGGGGTGGACTTGCAAGGCGAGAGGCAGGAAAGAGCAAAAGCTTCCTTCTTCCATGTTCTTATATGGGTTTCTAGCAGGAGGTGTGGCCCAAATTAAAGGTGTGTCTTCCTGTCTCGGGATCCGGATTTAAGGCAGACTCCATGGCAGGCGAGGGCGACCGAGGCGGAGGGACAAACACGGCAGGCAGACAGAGCTTAGTGAGAAAGGAAAGAGAAAAGAGGTAAAGACACACACAGAGAGAGGACAGAAGAGAAGAGGGAGACAGGAAACGTACTGTCTGCCCCAGGCGAGCCACAAGGACGAGAAAGGGAGAGAGCAGAAAGAGAGCGTAGGTGGGCGGGGCCTTTCTTTTAAAGGGGTCCTTTGCACCTGCGTGCAGACTATGCAACCATGGAACCCTGGGCTGACCAGGGCACTGCCTGAGTGCATTCTGCCTATGACAGGGGCAGGCCAGCATATGCCTGAATCCTTACAGAAGGCGTGTGTCTTCCCACTTTTTTGTTTGTTTGTTTCTGTTTTTTCGAGACAGGGTTTCTCTGTATTGTTTTGGAGGCTGTCCTGGAACTCGCTCTGTCGACCAGGCTGGCCTCGAACTCACAGAGATTTGCCTGCTTCTGCCTCCGGAGTGCTGGGGTTAAAGGCGTGTGCCACCAACGCCCAGCGTCTTCCTACTTTGAAGGTAGACCCTAAGTGGATCCACCCACCTCAAACCAATCAAAACAGGTCCCACGCAGGTGTGCCCTCCATTTCTGGATTGCAGTTCATTCCCGAGTTAATCAAGCTGATAAGCAAGAGCGGCTATCACGGAAACCAAGGTTAGAAAACGAAGGCCAGGGTAGTCACTCCGGAACGGTGAGCGGTGATGTCTGCTGAGCCAGAGAGACGGTTGAGATGGTGAAAACGTGGGCCTGAGCGACTGGAAGTGTGACCACTGAGATGAAGAGATGGGGAAATCATTGGTGCATGTGTGTTGGGCATCCTTGATCCGAAATGCTTGGGACCAGAAGTATTTCGGATTTCTTTCAGACTTTGGGATATTAACGTCGATATATAAAATGAGGTAACTTGGCCTAAATACCAGAATCGCCACCTCATATGCCCCTACACATAAATCCTTGCCTTAATTACTTTTTCTGTGATGATATGCTATGACCATGGCAACGTATATAAGAAATCAGAGCCGGACGATGGTGGTGCTCGCCTTTAATCCCAGCAATCGGGAGGCAGAGACAGGCGGATCTCTGTAAGTTCGAGGCCAGGCTGGACCGACAGCCTCCAAAACAATACAGAGAAACCCTGTCTCGTAAAACCAAAACAAAAACAAAAAATAAAAATAAAAAAAAAGAAATCAGTTGGTTGGGGGCTTGCTTACAGTTCCAGAGGGGAGTCCATGACCATCATGACTAGGAGCGTGGCATCAGACATGCAGGCTCTAGAGCAGTAGCTGAGAGCTCACATCTTATACAAAAGCAGGAGGCAGAGAGGGAGGGAAGGAGGGAGGGAGGAAGAGAGAGAGGGAGGGAGGGAGGGAGGGAGGAAAACGTTTGGTTGGTTTGCTTATGGTTTAGGTTTGGAGTTTGTTTTGTGTTGCAAGATTTATTTTATATGTATGAGAGTTTGCCTGCATGTTTCTATGTGCACCTTGTGCATGCAGTGCCCAAGGAGCCCAGAAGAGGGCACTGTTCTCCTGATACTGGAGTTTGTGAGCTACCATGTGGGTGCTGGGAATTGAACACAGATCCTCAGGAAGGATGGCCAGTGCTAACTGGAGAGCCATCTCTCTAGTCTCAGGTTTTGCTTTTTGAGATAGTCTCCAGTACCATAGACTGGCTCAAACTCACTATGTACCATTTCTGATCCTCCTGCATCTACCTCTTGAGTGCTCTGATTACAGGCACGAGTCACGCCCTCCAGTCTCTGCTTTGAGAACTGTCATAAGAGATCTGGTGTGGGATTTTCCATTTGTCCTTCTAGTCGGCATTCAAAATGTTTTGGTGGCCCAGGAATGCAGCTCAGTTAGTAGAACATTTGCCTGTGGTGATATTTTGTTTATACTGTAATAAGACTTGCCTGAAGATCAGAGTTCGAAGCTAGCCATACAAGTTAACCACAGAGGCCAGGCAGTAGTGGTGCATGCTTTTAATCCCAGCACTAGAGAGGAATAGAAGGCTAAGGAGACAGGAGCTGAGTGAGTCTGAGGTTTTATGGAGAGCAGTGCAGTCTGAGGACAGGCTTGCCCTTTGGGTCTGAGCATTGGTAGAGAAGGGAACTCTAGAGGATGGCCGATTTGCTTCTTGCTTCTCTGATCTTCAGCTTTAACCACAATATCTGTCTCTGGGCTTTTATTGTTTTGTGTTACATTTGCCGACTATTGCACAGGTTCTGGGTTCTGCCCGTAGCGGTGCATAAACTAGGTGTGACAGTTTGATTGAGAATGATCCCTATAAACTCATAGACTTGCATGAAACTGTTTGGGAAGGATTAGAAGGTGT